AAAATGTGTCCAATGAGAGTAAAGAGAATTAAATGAGTTAATTTTTGTAAAGAACTCACAACAAGCTGTGGTGCATTGACACAATGGAATACTACCTGGCCATGAAACAAGAAAATATTACCCTTTGTGGCAGCATGGGTGGACCTTGGGAGTATCATGCTAAGTGAAACAAGCCAGTCAGAAATAGACAAATGACATATGATTTCACTTATATGTGGAACCTAATGAACAAAATAAACAACAAAAGAAAAACAGATTCACAGATGCAGAAAACAGACTGACAGCTATCACAGGGAAGAGGAGTTGGGGGGCTGGGCAAAAAAAGTGAAGGGATTAAGCAAAAACCAACACAGCTTCTGGCCAAGATGGAGGTGTAGGTAGACACGCTTTGCCTCTTCACACAGCCAAAAGAAGGACAACAAAAAATTAAAAAACAAAAAACAACTGCCAGAAAATCAAGCTGTATGCAAGTCCAGCAACCAAGGAGTTAAAGAAGGAACACTCATCCAGACTGCACCACAACACAGCGATGTGAGTTGCCCAACCCTGGCGAATACCTACAGCTCTGCCCCTTACAACATAATACAAGGTGGACAAGACATAGAAATATGGCCCAAATGAAAGAACCGATCAAAATTCCAGAAAAAGACCTAAGTGACAAGGAGATAGCCAATCTATCAGATGCAAAGTTCAAAACACTGGTAACCAAAAAGGTCACAGAAATGGTTAAGTATGGTTGCAAAATAGAGGAAAAAGGGAAGGTTATGCAAAGTGAAATAAAGAAAAATTTACAGGGAACCAACAGCGAAGGGAAGGGAACTGGGGACTCAAATCAATGATTTGGAGCAGAAAGAAGGGATAAGCACTCAACCAGAACAGAATGAAGAAACAAGAATTCAAAAAAAAAAAAAAAAAATGAAGAGAGACTTAGAAACCTCCAGGAAAGCTTTAAACGATCCAACATCTGAATCATAGGGGTGCCAGAAAGAGGAAGAGCAAGAAATTGAAAACTTATTTGAAAAAATAATGGAGAACTTCGCCAATCTGGCAAAGGAAATAGACTTCCAGCAAGTTCAGGAAGCTGAGAGTCCCAAAGAAGTTAGACCCAAGGAAGCACACACCAAGGAACATCATAATTATATTACCTAAGATTAAAGATAAGGAGAGACTCTTAAATGCAGCAAGAGAAAAAGACAGTCACCTACAAAGGAGTTCCCATGAGACTATCAGCTGTTCTCTCAAAAGAAACCTTGCAGGCAAGGACGCGCTGAAAAGTATTCAAAGTCATGAAAGGCAAGAACCTACATCCAATAATACTCTATGCAACAAAGGCATCATTTAGAATGGAAGGGCAGATGAAGTGCTTCCCAGATAAGGTAAAGTTAAAGGAGTTCATCATCACCAAGCCCTTGTTGCATGAAATGTTAAAGGGATTTACCTAAGAAAAAGAAAATCAGAATTATCAACAGTAAAATGACAACAAACTCAGAACTATCAACTCAACCTAAAAAAACAAAAACTAAGCAAACAACTAGAACAGGAACAGGATCACAGAAATGGAAATCACATGGAGGGTTATCAGCAGGGAGAGGGAGGGAAGAGAATAGGGGAAAATGTCCCAGGAACAAGAGGCATAAATCATAGGTATAAAATAGGCAGGGGGAGGTTAAAAATAGTATAAGAAATGGAGAAACTAAAGAACTTGTATGTATGACTCATGGACATGAACTAAGAACGGGGGATGGGGAGAATGTTGGTGAGGGGGCTGCAGGGCAGAGGGGACTAGAGAGGGGTAAAAATGGGACAACTGTAATAGCTTAATCAATAAAATATAATTTAAATAAACAAAACCCCCCCAACACTCACAGATATAATATGGGGATTACTAGAGGAAGAGTAGATACTGGCAGACTGAAGAGAGGGTAAAAGAGGGATAAATGATGATGGAAAGAGGCTTGACTTTGGATGGTGAATACACAGATGACATATTATAGCACTGTACACTTGAAACCTATATAATTTTATTAACCAATGTCACCTCAGTAAATTCCATAAAAATTAAAAACAACTCAAAACAGTGTTTGGCAGCTATGTGAGTACTAGTAAAAATAAGGAGTGGAATTATAACCATATCATTTAGATGATGTGTTCCTATTCCTTGTAGATAAGAAACATGGGATCCACACAGCTGAGCTATGGTGCAGAAAAGAGTTATTAACATTATATCTATTTATAGCTAAATCCAGCCAGAGGTGTATAATATCCTGTCTTCAAATCAGAGGTGGAAACTGAGGTATCACCCACTTCTTTTGTTTACTAATACACAAAATAGTTCTCATTTCTTTTTTACAAGATCTGGCATGTGTGCTACACTTACTAGAGAAGGTTTTAATAAGGATTTTTATTTATTTTCAGACAGGAAGGGAAGAAGAGAGGGTGAGAAACATTGATTGGCTGTCTCTTGCACCTGGCGACCTTTCACTTTGCAGGATGACACACAACCAATTGAGCCACAGCAGTCAGGCCTTACTAGAGATTTCAATAAGTTACTCCAGAAACCAATAGAAACATGTCCACATTAAATTCATTGACTGTAAGGGACACATACTTTTCATTTTTCATATAACATGTAAGAATGGGCTCAACTATTTGGTAGTATGACCTCTTTTAAGCCAAATCCATATCTTGTTCATTTCTGGTACCTGGAAAAAAAATGTTCAATCAGGGATGAAAAGTAGGGGAATGACATCTTTAGAAGGTTTCACAGGGTTATACTATGTTGCATAACAACAAATTCCTTGGGGGCGTGGGTGGAGGTGGGAAAAGGTACAAGGGGGATAAATGGTAACAGGAAAAAATACAACAAAAAATTCCTATTTTCCTGGAAGTCCCCCAGTTTTATTAACCAGGGTGTGAATACAGTTTCAGGGGCTCTGCATGTAGTATTTATTCATTGTCTATGTAGTGTCTTCCCATCACTATAATTTTCAACAAGGGACAAAGAGACCAGGAAATTGACTTCTATACCAAATGAGAGATTAGACTACAGGCACTCCTTGATTTATGATGGGGTTTTGTCCTGATAAATACAATGTAAATTGAAAACATTAAGTCAAAATGCTTTTAATACACTTACCCTACTTAACATCATAGCTTAGCCTAGCTTACCTTAAACACGCTTAGAACATTGAAAATAGCCTACAGTTGGGCAAAATCATCTAACACCATGAATGCAATGGAGTATTAGTTGTTTACCCTTGCGACTGCATGACTGATTTGGAGCTGTGCTTGCTGCCACCACCCAGCATTACAAGGGAGTATTATACTGCTTATCACTAGCATGCGAGAAATCTTAAGTATGGTTTCTACTGAATGCATTTTGTTATCACACCATCAGAAAGTCAAATAGCATGTTGAACCATCGTAAGTTAAGTTGGGGACCATCTCTAGATGATTTGTCTCCCCCTTCCTCTCAATATCTGGTATTTGCAAATATCTGCAAGTTAACCCAGCTCAAGTGTGTATTGAAGTCTTAAGAAAAGGCAAGCTGTGGAAACAATGATGAAAAAGATAGGGATCCCAGCCCTGCTTCCTGAAGAACAAGTTTAGTAGGGAAGACACACACAGAGTTTCACAGCACTAAATCCCACTTGTAATTTTAATTATTTCAGTTTAATATCTGCCTTTTCACACAACACAGTAATGAGGACAATAACTGAGTCTACTTTAATTATATATATTATATATATATGTATATATGTGTGTGTGTATGTGTGTATATTACATATAACAGTGTCTGTCACTGCACTCAACATTGGTCCAAAAAGGTAGATCAAAGAGATAATTTCAATATAGTATGAGTACCAAGAGGTACATGGAAGATGCTAAACCATGTACCCAGAATATCAAGGATTTACAATGGGTTCACTGCAGTACGGTATCATAATGTGAACATCCTGCCCTTCTTGTGTGTTGTATGAATGTCATATTGAGACATATCTTCAGTGGGAGTGGATCTGACTGTCAAAAGTTGTGGGTTTCTTTTTTTTCCTCTCAAGTGCTAAAATTTTGTTTAGTAAGCCTTCTGCTTGGGAAGCGCCCTTGCTTCTGGATAGCTAAGCAGGACCAGGATGTGACAGGAAACAAGTATTTGGTTTTCATTCTAAGTTTTAAAGAGGAGGGGTATAGAGAGCCATGGAATTCCATGGTTCCAAGGAAATTAGCAGAGTGGAATACATATTGCACATTCCGTCCTGGAAAACGCCCTACAGTCTTCATGTCAGAGTAAGTGATGTACAGCACCAGGAGGCCACAGGAATTTGGTTCCCGACAAAAACCAGTGAGGTGGCCTTGTAAGGTCTTTGTATCTCTTAACATTCTGATTCTGCTCTTTCCTTTGCCCTGGCTTCAGAGCACTACAACCACCAATGGTTTGGATCCTATTATAGCTGCTTCTTTTCCAAACTGATTTTACCATCTCCTTTGAACTTTTCCTTCCTTTGCAAAATTCAACCTCTCTCCCCCATTTTCAAAATTAATATTAAAAAAAGAGAGATAAAGCTCTGAAATAATGACTTTTTATACTTATTAATAGCTCTTGCTTTCAAAAATATAACTTCATTACAGGCATTAAGCACATTATTTTCATGGGTCATTTAGATAAAACTTCCTCTGTAGGAAGGGATCATTTTTATGTTCCTTTTCTTACTTTAAATACCCTAGCACAATATAATAAGCACTCATATATTTGAGGGAACATGTTATATGAATAAATGTAACACTCTGGACAAGTTACAGAGTATCATCTCAGGCTTATGTGGAATTATGACGCTTTCAACAATTACTAAAATCTTTTCAAAGACAATCTTTGCACTAATGTATGTCTGTCTGTGTAACAGACTAAAGAGAGCCACAAATCTGGTATTCTCAAAACAGCACATAACTACTAATGTAATGCCATAAATCAACTTATTTCCTTTAAAACTTCACTAAATAATTCCAAGAAGTACAACAAAACATTAAAAGCTCCCAGCCTTCACACTAAGAATTAGGAAGTCTTCTTTGATTTTTTCTTCTCTGTTTCTTCCTTTTCCTTTTCTATTGCAGTGACTTGTAATTCAATTTCTTTGGCACTGAACATCTGAAAAAAAACCAAATTGGCAATTATACCAATAAATTTCTAAATTTTTACAATATGAAATTAACCTATTATACCTTATAAAACCTGTTTTCTATTTATAGCTTCAAATATATAATGAAATGTCCCAAAAGGTTCAACAGCAACATATTTGTAACAGAACTCTTAGACATTTCCACCATCATTGTGCTAAAAAAGAAATCAGGGTAAAATGTGATATTAAATTATATATCCTGTATAAAATATAACTCTAAAGCTATTTTAATGTAAGACTTACTCTATTCATGAGCAAATAACTCATTACTAAACTCCCTCTAGCCTCACCCTGTGCGATTCCCTGATAGGGTTTTACTATTTTATCAGCTCACAGAATAGCCATGAAAGATAGGGAAAAGATGATTTATACTGCTTTATTTACAACTCCTTCACTAAACACAAAATAAAGTTTTTATTTAAATCATTTTTATTGAGTTGGCCATTAAGACCATTATGTTTTTTCCATACAGTGGCTCCAGTAGTGCTTAGTTGTCTTTAACCTCATTTGAAACAATTTTGTTAAGATTGTATTTTGACAGCTGTCATAACAGCATGCATTTTTAAAAAACCATCAAAACTGGTGAATTTTTGTGCAGCCATTTTAATGCATATCATGCTTTATTATTTCAAGAAAGGCAAAACTACAACCGAAATGCAACAAAAGATTTGTGGAGTGTGTGGAGAAGGTGCTATGACTGACTTAATGTGTCAAAAGTGGATTGTGAAGTTTCTTGGTACTATTGACATTTTGGCCTAATGATTCTTTGCTGCGGGACTGTCTTACGCATTGGAAGATGTTTAGCAGCACCCCTGGCCTCTACCCACTAGAAGCCAATAGCAGGAGATAGCCAACATACTCAAGATAACGAAATCAATCAAGTTATTGGTGAAAATGAAAAATGTGTCTTCTTATTTTACGGAAAAAAACATAATAGATTTTTGGCCAACCCAATATTTTACCTAAAATAAAAAACGGGAGCAAACTGCTCAAGGTCATATGGTTAAATAAACTGATCTGCTAGAACTAAAATCCAGATCTATCCAAATCCAAAGCATGCACTCTATTTGCCACACAGCCTCTTCTGAAATAACGTGTGGAAGGATAGCATAACTTCACTGTCAGGATGCACACCATCCTACCACTAATAAGCAGAAAAAACATGTACATCACTGGGTGTGTGTGCGTATGTCTGTCTGGGTGTGTATATATGTGATGGGACTGGAGAGGTCACTCTGGTCTCAGTGGTTCTTTGTTCCTGCGGTGTTGGCACATGTATGCCCGGGCCCTTGGCAACAGGCATGATAACCTCACATAGTTCCAATCTCCACATTCTGTGTTCAGCACCCTGATTATTTTTGAGGAGCTGTGTATTGGAAGATCCCATCACTCTGTCCATATTTCTCTAATTCACCGAAACTTTGCTGCTGTCCTATCCTCGCATTCCTATCCATCAGTTAACTAATAAAATATGGGAATATGGTGTCATAACAACAAGTTCCTCCTCCATAACAAAAACCAAAATCCCACTGCTCCACGCAGCACTGATTTATTTCAATACTACGTCCTTTTGAAATATTTCCCCAAAACAAAAGGCGTATGTAAAATAACTTTTTAGCGCACTTTTCATATAGTTTCCCATGCTTTGAGTGCTTTTGTACACTCAACTACAGAGAGTTAGTTGGGAAACGACACTGTAAAGTTCTACCTAATGAACTATAGTGAACCATGTTTCAAGTGTTCTTTAGCCAATGAGTCTTCTATCATAAAATTCAAAACAATTTATCACATTGTTCTAAACAATTTATTTTGTGGTCCAGCAGTTTTAACCCATAATGGCTATAAAAGGTAACAAATTATAGTATTAGACTTGCCGCAAGGAAATGTGGGAGGGTTATGATACTAGCTGTTAAAATTTAAGTCTTAACAGTGGATCAAGGCACTTTTAAGTGAAAAGTGGAGAAAACAGACAAAAAACAAGAATGGGTGGAGGTTTTTTGACATAATGAAAGATAATACTATGATAGAAGCCTGGAGGGCCAGCAGTCATATAAACGGCAATTGAATGACACTAGCTGGAAGTATATTTTGACTTCAGAAGATCTAAAAATACAGGAAGAGTAACTGCTCTCTATATGGTGCAAGGAATGAATCTCCATGGGGAATATGCTATACTGATCCCAGGAAGGAGAGACTCAGCAGGGGTTCCTACTTATAAGAATATATACTAAATTGGGTAGGCCTATATATCGACCTCAGCACCTCTAGGTGTTCACAATGGGCTAGGGATGGGTAACTGCTTGCAATAAACACATACAAATTAGTATTGGTCTACAAAAACAAAAGAGAAGTTGTCATAGTGTCAATGAATGTTAAGGGATGTTTAAGGCTTATAATGAAGGTTCACAGGTTTCAATATTTTAACTTTTTTCAAAATACACTACAGATAGTCCTTCCTATTTGGTTAATGACTTACTTTCAAAGGTTGGTTTCTTCTTATTATAGCAAGTTCAATGTTTTTGCCACCAGACTGGACAACCTAATGTAGAACAAGTGCAATATTAGAATTCAGGAAATTCTGTGTTTTAATAAACAATTGAATGAGGGGAAAACCCATGCTTTTCTGAATATGTTTTATTGGCTCACTTACTTCTAATAAAGCTCTTATTGCTAATTTGATAGCTTCACTGTCGTTTGCTATAGCATCTTCTGTGTAATTCTTTTCTAGAAATTCTCGGACAGTTTTAGCACTTCGGCCTATTGCATTTGCCTTGAAAAACAGAAGATAACTGTTAACATCACTGTAATATAAAGGAAATTATGGTCACTAAGTTTAAAGGTTTACAGTTTACTCCAGCATTTCTTAGTGTAATTGTCAAATAAAGCTGTAGGTTTGAAAACTTAGCCAACGTGTCAGCAGCTCGTTCGGTTCCATATGAATAATTTGTAGTGATGGCACGAGTAATTTTTCAATGACACCAATGCTTTATACTGGCCAGTGTTTTCTATTGCTTTAATGGCTCCCAAGTTCTTGATAGTCAGAAGAGATGGAAGGAGTTGAAGCTCCAACAGATGTGGGGAGGAAAGAAGGTATGACTTTGCAATATGGTGCAAAAAGATGACATACAAGAGGAAAAAAAAAATCAACGTGAAGAAGAAAGCTGTTTATGTGAATAGGACTGTACAACATTTTCTTCGAACTTAAAGTATACTAATTATTAATTCATTATCTTCTTTGACTCTGTAAGTAAGAAGGCTTCTTCTGTTCCATTCTGCATTTTTCTATATTCTTCAGAGTTTTTCATCAAATGAAGGAAAACGCAAACAAACTTCCCTGGCTGCATGGCTACAGGCAGTAGTCTAAATTCTGGACTAGTACTAGTGATGATAACGGTGATGATAACAGTGATTTACATTAACAGAGCACTTATGTGCCAGGTAGTGTATTATGTATTTTACATGAATTATCTCACCTAACCTAACCATCCCCAACACAGTTAAATAGGTAATATTACAAACCCCAATTCATGGGTGAAGAAATGAAGGGCTGGAAAGGTTAAAATGACTTTTCTTAACCTCAACACTATTGACCTTTGGGCCCGAAAATTCTTCTCTGGGGCCAGGTGGGGTAGTGGTGTTCCTGTGCATTGTGGGATGTTTAGCACTCTCTATCCACTAGATGTCAGTAAAACCACCTACCCTAGATGTGACAACCAGACATGTTTTATTATTGCCACATGTCCCTTAGGGGGACAAAATCACCACTATTTGTGAACCATTGGACTAAGTAATCATGCCCAAGATCATATAGGGGGTAAACAGAAGAGCTGAGCTTTGAAACCAAACAGACTGAGTAGACAAGCCAAGCTTTGAACTCTGTATGCTGTGTCGCCACATATTCCTTTGCTATGATGAATCTAGAATGGAGAGAATCAGCAGAAATGGCCTGCCTCTCACTGAAGGATCCTGGCATTAAATGGGAATGTCTCAGTCCCAGGTGGTCAGTACAATGATCATCAGGAAGATTCTCAAAGAAGATGTTTAGGAAGTGAGCACATCTTCTGTACTACATGACAGCATTACTGTTCTGCCACTTCAAAGAATTTTTCCTCCTCCTTTATATTTCAGGGGGTTAAAATAAATAGCTGTAAAATTTTAAATGAATTTTGTGGCCTTGAAATTTCACTAAGATCAAAGGTAAAACCTTCAGAATGGTATGACTTTGGAGTTTATTAACTAATAGTTTTTTGGGGATAAGAGGGTATCTAATGGGTTGCTCCCCAAAGAGGAAATATGTAAGGTGTGGTTTACCCCAAGAAATCTCACTGGGCCCTTAGAGGGCACCTTGTAAATTCCTGGTGACCTTCCTGTCCGCTTCTTCCAATTGCAGATGTCAAAATTCTTGAACTCTTACCTGCCTGACTGGCTTCTTAAAATCTGGCTGCCTCTTGCCCCACTGAAATCCCCACTCTCCCTCCAACTCCATCACTCGCCCCAGCCCACTTCAAAAGACTGATGGTTTTTGAATGTTTTTTCTTCCCACCTATCTAGATTAATGACGATTTTCTTTGGCAAAGAATATTAATTGCCACCCCCAACAGCCTTATTCCTTTGTGACAGGACTCTAGATGATGTTATTTCCTAGCCCCTATTATCAAAAGGAATATGCAAGCAGAAGCAACTGGGTGAAACTTCTTGGAATCTTTACTGCCTGGAATGCAGACATGTTGACTGGAGGTCTGGTAGCCACAAAGAGCATGGGAAAAGAGTAAGATGATAACAGAGACAAACACCAGCAAGTGCCTACCTTCAATCTCTCATTGTGTGAGAAAAATAAATCCCTACGTGTTAAGAATCATCACCTTTCTGCTGGTACGAATCAAAAACATCATACATCTCTGGATGGATCTTGTGACACACTGTCCCACTCCCCTTCAGAAATGAACACCTTATTCCTTTAGCTGCTGAAAGCACCAATGGCAGAGCCCTCTCAGATCTTAACTTTCTTGGAGAGGTGCCTTGGTTAACAAGAACTGCCTCACTTAAGGACATGCAATGTCTTCCAGAGGTGGCCTATATCCAATGACTGACTGATTAAGTGCTATTAATGTCCAGCCCTCTCATTTCAACTTGGAACAACTTTGAACAGTCACCCCATATCCAGAGCTTCCCGAGGGGTTGATTGATGAGGCCTTTATTGAGTCTCACTTTTCCACCTGACTAATCCTGTTCCCCTCCCTTCAACAAATGTTGATCCCAAAAGCACTTCCTTATATGAAGGGGACTCCCTCAAAAAAAACCCCCAAAATCAGAATTTTCTTCCAGATGGTGGGTTCCTTGTTGTACAGACTTTCCCTGCTAGATGAGTGTTCTAGAAACCCATCTATATTAGTGTATCAGCTAGCGTTGTTGAGAGAGGCTATATTTTGGCTTCAGTGAATTTTTTTGAAGACTCTAACACATTTGCCCATTTCATGATGGGTGACTATTTATAAGTACCTCTATCCACGCAACGCTGAGTGTTCAGCAGATTTTGACCAAAAAATGGTGTGACCCCATTCTCCACCCTCCCTAGTCACCCAGCCTCACTCCAAACAACTTTTTTCCCCACCCCTCCCAGGTGAAAAAGACCTCAAAGGGGAATGTTTTCCTGTTTTGGAAGAGGTGAAACAAAAAAAAGGCAGAAGCACTAAAAGCCATCAAAATTGAAAAGGTCAAAAATTGTTTTGAGCAGTGGAAAAAACGTCTTGACAGATGTCTTGTATCAAATGGAGAGTACTTTGAAGGTGACTGAAGTTTAAACACGTAAGAATAAATACACAATTTTTGTAAATAAATTCCGGGTTTCTTTTTGTCCTCATACACTTCGTAAACATGGTGGTTAAACATCCTTTAAAACTCTTTATAGTCCTGAGGTTCTATGTCTTTTTTTTAAATTATTTTTTTATTGTTCAAATACTTTAGTCTCCATTTTCCTGCCACCACTTTCCCCTGCCCCACCCAACGCTATTCCCCACACTCAATCCTTCCCCACTTTGGCTTTGTCCATGGGTCCTTTATGCATGTTCCTTGATTTGACACTTCTTTTCCCTGTTACCCTCCTCCCACCTTCCCTCTTGTTACTGTCGGTTTGTTTTTTCTTTCAATGTTGCTGGTTATATTTTCCTTGCTTGTTTTTTTTTTGTTGATTAGGTTCCACTTTTAGGTGAGATCATTATGGTATTTGTCTTTCACCCCCTCGCTTATTTCACTTAGCATAATGCTCTCTAGTTCCATCCATGCCGTTGCGAAGGGCAACAGCTCTTTTTTTCTTTCTGATGCGTAGTATTCCACTGTGTGAATGTACCATAGTTTTTTGATTCATTCATTTACTGATGGGCACTTAGGTTGCTTCCAGCACTTGGCTATTCTAAATTGTGCTGCTATGAACATTGGGGTGCACAGGTTCTTTTGAATTGGTGTTTTGGGACTGAGGTTCTATGTCTTTATGGCAGTTATTTTCCAAAGAACACCAGAATGGAGAAAGGGTTCTAAATTGAAATAATCTTGGGGGTTACTACTTTAATTGCTTCTAGAAGATGTACAATACTTTTTAGAAGATCGAGAACTTAACAAAACTTATTAAATTTCTTTAAACAAACATCTTCCAAAATTAGCTTATTTACTTTACACCTATTAACATCAAAAGAAATACACTCTGGAAAACACTGCCTGAAGTATACAATATGTTATTAATTTTGTTCCTGTTTTGAAGCATTACTGAGAAGAACAAAACATGCCTCCAAAAGCGTTAACACTGTTAGTTTTGTAATATCAAGCTTTGGTCATCTGAAAAATACTGTTTCACTGCTATTCCAAATACTGACTCATTTGATTTCTAAAACAGCAAATAATTATGCTCATTAATTTCATGTCCAATCTCATCAGAGAAGTCTTTATTGAGGAACTGTCAAGCTCACTGTGGCAAATGTGTTTTCCAAAATTTTAATTTTTGTTTTAAAGCTTGAATTTTATCATTGGCAACAGATACTGTCAGTTGTTTCCTTAAAGTAAAACACTTGGATAATTCATTCTTTTTTTTTTAAAAAATTATTTATTTATTTAATTTTAGAAAGAGAAGAGGAGACATTGATTTTTGTTGTTCTACCCACTAATGCATTCATTGGTTGCCTCTTGTACATGCCCTGAGTGAGGATCAAACCAGCAACCTTAGTTTATTGGGACAATGCTCTCATCTACTTAACTACCCAGCGAGGGTGCATCACTCTCTCTTGAGAAGATGCCCTGCCACATTTCCAAGTTTGAATAACCACAGTTATTCTACCTATTGTTCTATCAAGGAAAATGAAGTTCCATAAAAAGTGGGATAGTTCAGCTTGCAATTGAAACAACTGCATAACTGTTCTTCTTCGAAACAGTCACTATACTTGCAGCAGATGTGCTTTAATAAGCATATTTCCAGTACATAATATGGAATGTTAAAAGGTGCATACTTAAGAATGAAATTTTTAAATAATATTTAAAAGAATTGAGATATAACTAACACATAACATATTAGTTAGGGGTATACAACGTGGCTCGATATTTGTATATATTGTGAAATGATCACCATGATTAAGTCTAGTTAACATTCATCATCACATAGAGTTAAATTTTCTTCTTGTGATGAGAAAATGATTGAGATTTAATAAAATTAATAATTTATACTGTTTCATCAAAAACAACTTATGTGAAAGTTGAATTTACTTACTACAAATGCATTATGGTAAAGAATACAATGAATATTAATATAGTTGGGTGGTAGGGTACCAGGAATTTTAACCACTATTGCTCTTACATCGTCTGTATAAATGTCCACACAGAGAAAAAGGAAAGTATTAGTTTTATTATGACAATAGTTTTTACCTCATGGACCAGGGATCTGAAGACTACATTTTGAGATCTGCTGCTTTATATTATATTTTTTATTTGGCTACACCCTGTAAGCTTTTTAGGTCAAGAAACTCCTATACAATATAGATTCCACATAAACTTACCTGAAAGTTTCTAACATTGTATCTTTTTCAATTAAAATGGTAGGTTCCAAATATGGCAAATCAACAAAGTCATCTGGGAAAAATCCCTGTTCCAATATAGTCTGGGATTATGACTGGTTCTCTACTTTTCATTGTTTCAGCTTAAACGTCACTTCCTTAGAGATATGTTCCCTCTGTACACAATCTAAATCAGCTCCCTCTTGTGCTCCAGGGAGTGGTCCAGCAGTTTGGTTTCATCATTACACTTACCTCTACTTAATGTCAAACTAAACAAAGAAAATTGTAAGTTGTACAATATACTATAATACTAATTATATAATTATATACCAATATATAATATAACACTAATGATATAAAATTTTAAAATATGCAAAACAGTCCCTATTATTTATGGATACTTTCATGTGCAATGAAAGTATAAAGTTATGCATAGAAAATATAAACATCAAGTCAATATTTAGAAATCAAAGGCATTTTTGTACAGCAGCAATGAAATAGAAGAAGTAATCAGAAAAAAAATACCATTTGATATAGCAACAAGAAAAATAAAGTACCTAGGCATAAATTTAACTAAGGAGGTGAAAGACCTGTACGCAGAAAACTATACAACATGGAAGAAGGAAATTAAGGAAGACATAAATATATGGAAGCATATACCATGTACATGGATTGGAAGAATTAGTATCATCACATTGTCCATACTACCCAAAGCAATTTATAGATTCCATGCAATCCCTATTAAAATACCAATGACGTACTTCACAGAAATAGAACAGCATTTCAAAAATTTATATGGAACCATAAATGACCCCGAAGAGCTGCAGAAATTTTGAGAAAGAAAAACAATGTAGGAGGGATCACAATAACGGACATCAAACTATACTACAAAGCCACTATACTCAAAACAATCTGGTACTGGCACAAGAACAGACCCATAGACCAGTGGAACAGAACAGAAAGCTCAGAAGTAAGCCCATGTCTATATGGGCAACTAACATTTGACAAAGGGGGCAGAGGCATAAAGTGGAGTAAAAATAGCCTCTTCAACAAATGCTATTGGGTGAGCTGGACGGCTACATGAAAAAATTGAAATTGGATCATCAGCTGACACCATACACAAAAATAAACTCAAGATGGATAAAAGACTTAAATATAAGTCACAACACCATAAAAGTCCTAGAGGAGAACATTGGCAGGAAACTCTCAGGTATCCCACACAGCAATATTTTCACTGATATGTCTCCTAAAGCAAGGGACATAAAAGAAAGAATAAACAAGTGGGACCTCATCAAAATAAGAAGCTTCTGCACGGCGAAAGAAAACGTCAGCAAAATGAAAAGGGAGCCAACCCTATGGGAAAATATATTTGCTAATGATACATCAGATAAAGGTTTGATCTCCAAAATATATAAAGAACTCCCATGACTCCACTCCAAGAAGACAAACGATCCAATCAAAAAATGGGCAAATGACCTGGGCAGACACTTTTCCAAGGAAGAGATACAGAGGGCCCAGAGGCATTTGAAAGGATGCTCAGCATCACTAGCCATCAGAGAAATGCAGATCAAAACCACAATGAGATACCACCTCACACTGGTCAGAAATGGCCATCATAAACAGATCAACAAACAACAGGTGCTGGAGAGGCTGTGGAGAAAAGGGAACCCTAGTCCACTGTTGGTGGGAATGCAGACTGGTGCAGCCATTGTAGAAAAGTGTGGAATTTCCTCAAAAAGCTAAAAATGGAACTGCCTTATGATCCAGTGATTCCCCTGCTGGGACTATACCCTAAGAATCCCAAAATGCCAATTCAAAAGAACCTATGCACCCCAATGTTCATAGCAGCACAATTTACAATAGCCAAGTGCTGGAAGCAACCTAAGTGCCCATCAGTAGATGACTGGATCAAAAATACAATGGTACATTTACACAATGGAATGCTACACAGCAGAAAGAAAAAAAGAACTACTACACTTCACAACAGCACGGATGGAACTAGAGAGCATTATGCTAAGCGAAATAAGCCAGGGGGCGAAAGACAAATACAGTATGATCTCACCTATAAGTGGAACCTAACCAACAAAACAAAGATGCAAGGAAAATAAGACCAGCAACACTGAAAGAAAATAGAAACCAACAAAGACAAGAGAGAAGGAAGGAGGGGTGGTCAGGGAAAAGGAAGGGAAGGGTCAAGTCAAGGAACATATATCAAGGACTCATGGACAAAGCCAAAGTGGGGAAGGATTGAGGGAGGGAGAGGGGGAAGGGGGGCAAGGGAGTAGGGGGGTAGGTGGAGACAAATATATTTGAAAAAAAATAAATGAAAATAAAAAGAAAATATAAACATCAAATTTAGGAAAGTGGTTTCCTGGAGCAGGTAGGAGATGTAGTAGGAGGGGAATGAGATTAGAAGGATACACAGTAAGCTTCAATAACATCCAAGCTCGCTGGTGGTTACATGAGTGTTTTAAACATTATTTTCATTAGTCTGTAATATTTCACTTGAAAAAGGATTTGAAGCAAATAAGGTAAAGTATTAATACCTATTTAAACTTGGTGAATACGTGCATGCATTTTTTAATTTTGTATTCTTAGGTATATGTTTGAAATGTTCTATTAAGAACAATGATTTCTCTGAAAGCTAAAACTTGAAACTGTCCATGCTTCTCCCTAACTACTTTCACATTGAGTTCCATGCACTTGTACCTATTTAAGGTCTTTGCTCTTATAAAACGTTTCCACTTTCCTCTACATTATCAAAATTTCACTCTTTACTATATCATTTTCATAAATCTATACATGTTCCACAACATTTCAGTCATTCTTACTCCTCTCTTTCACTCCTTAGATCCACTAAGAAAGCCTCACACCATTCCTAATTTTGTTAAATGAAACCAAAATATAACCACTTCTCACCATTTCTGGCATTACCACCTGGCTCAAATCACCTGGACTTTTATAATATTACCTGCATCCATCCTTGCCCTCTCTCCATGCATTTTTTCCCATGGTAGACCGAAGGGTCCTTTAAAAAAAGTTACTTAATGTTTCTGTTTTGCTAACACTGACTTCCGTTCCTGCTCAGGTAAAATTCACAATCTTACAAAAAAGTCTGGCATTTGCAGCAGGTAAATTCATAGCTTCTGATTATCAATTAGATTGTCTAGGTATCTTAAAAGATATGCAGCTAACACAGGTATTCAGAGCTTTGTGGTAAGCATATAATACACTATTTTTACTGGCTTGGTTAATTGGTTTATAAAACTGAATGAGTATCGTCAGCTCAAATCAAATACTTCGGTTAATACAGGCTTAAAAATGAAGGCAATATTTCCCAATTAATTTATCTGGGTGTTAATAATAATAAAATAAACTCTTCATAAAATTATTTTAAGGTCTAAGTATTTAAACTTTTACTAGAGTCAAAATCATTTATATTAGATTCTGTATTGTAGTCTTATTCTTATATATGAGAATATTAAAAAAAATTTACTTCTGAAAACTGCTGCTAGTTTCGCTAGGTCCTAGATTTTTGTGTACCATTAAACAAAGTTAGTAGTTGGGTACTGAAACAAGAATATCAACTTAACCAAGAAACAAACTGTATCTCAGGAATTACGTGGAGATAATTGCAATGTATTGACACATAAGAATAAATTCATAGTTTGGAGTTCTTTGATTCTCCCAGAGTAGAGGATGCATTGAAGATTTCAGTATGGAGCCCTGGCTGGTGTGGTTCAGGGGATTGAGTGCCAGCCTGTGAACCAAAGGGTCATTGGTATGATTCCCAGTCAGGGCACATGCCTGGGTTGCAGGGCAGGTCCCCAGTTGGGGGCACATGAGAGGCAACCACACATTGATGTTTATTTCCTTCTCTTTCTCCCTACCTTCCTCTCTCTCTAAACATAAAGAAATAAAATCTTTAAAAAAAGAAAATAAAAAGATTTCAGGATGAAGTTTGTAAGCTCACTTAATTCTTTGTTAAAAGCCAAAAGATTAAATACTTCTACTCAAAGCAAGCACCCATATGATATAGTCATAATTTTGAAGGATGAACGATGAACAAGGAACTGGATATTTCTCTTATTTGGCCTGTCGTATACACTTAGGTTTGTCACGTCTTTTCAAACATAAGGAGAAGGCCCTGTGATTAATAAGCCAAAATAGTAAATATTTCTCTATCCATCAAAAACCATCATGACGGCTGACAAGCTAAATGGTTACATAAAGTTTCTACCATTAATATTTTAATTTAACCATTTTTTGTCAAGTCCTTAAAAGCAGTAAAGCATTTATGGTGAATACATTTATTCAACTTTTAAAAACACATTAAAAAATTAATGATTCACCTTCCAAGCATGATAAGTACCAGAGGGGTCAGTCTGATATAATCTTGGGATACCATCATCATCAAAACCTACAATTAAGGCAGAAATACCAAAAGGTCTTCGTCCATTGCTCTGAGTGTATTTCTGAAAAATAAAATGTTTTCATCATTACTTTCTGTATAGGCCATACAAAGGCCACTTTATTACTTGTCAAGTAACAAATTCTAAGAGTAAAGTATTCTTGCTAAAATGATCTTCTTTACTTATTTTTATTCTGAGTATCATTAAGATTCTCTTCCCTGACTTTCTAAACTAACCTCAAATCCATGATGAAATTACAAAAATTAAGGTACACAGTCTATAAAATAAAATCCTAAATTTAATTATATATGCTCTTAAAGTTCTTGTTACTTTATGTGGATCTTGGCAACATAAACAGATTGCAATCTGTTTAATACAGAACTATATTAATAGAGAACTATATGTCACACCATTTTGGTTCCCAGTAAAGCTGATTTTAGCTAGCTGTGCTTTGAAACCACTCCTTGGTTTACTCTGGGAGATACTACAGTTATTATTATCAAGTATTCTTATCTAATACTATTATTAGCAAGTATATTTTGTCCACCATATACTAAGTTATCTCTACATAAAACCCAACTAAGACATTTCTTTCAGTTTCAAAACAGGGAAATCTCTGTTTCTCTCGAAGAAAAAGCATGTTTTTCCCTCACAGACAACAGGGCACTTGAAACCAATTGTATTTTTCACTTCAGTGCCAGGAACTTCCTGGATTTGTGCTTCAGGGAGTGGAATTCACACTGATTCTGAGACTGCTGCTCCTAGAAGTTGTGCAGAGGCAATCCTGGCAGAAAGCTCAAGACCACATTTATAGCCAGCTTTAGAGATTATATACATATAACTTTGTGGCTCAGAATAGCTTTACACTAAGTTTCCTTCCTGGACTTGTCCATGTATTATATCCTTTTTATTTTTACATTATATATATATTTTAATAAGCTACTTCAAATTATAGATGCAAATAACTGGGTTACACAAACATAAATACACTTAAAAATTAAGAGTTTATGTTTTAATTTCTCTAAATGTCCTAATGTTCCTAAATCACACTGAAATATGAAGTTACTTTGTAAATATACTTCAGAGGACAGACCCTTTTACTTTATTTGCTTAATCAACCATTTTTAAAAATAAAAAGTAATATATGCACTTGGCTAAAGTAATTTAAAAGTACCAAAAGTGTATCTAAATCATGTTACTCTTTTGCCCAGAACGCAGGACCCTTCCCAGTGGTAACTTCACTGTTACCGATTTAAAATGTCTATTTGTATAAATGTTCTATGCATAAACTTTATATTGTTAGAGGAAAACCTAAAAATTACTAAAAAGTACAATCACCATGTTCTACACCTTATTTTTTGGTGGATAGCTTTATAACCTCTGGGAAAATCAAAGCAAATTTAAAAAAGCAGAAAAATATAAAAAATGTTGGACTTTCCTGCAACATAAATTAAAGAATAGACCAATTTTAAATAAGTATGTAATTTAAAACTTTAATATATAGAATATATGGTCTATAAAAAAATCTCTACATGGACAAATGGTAAAATCCATGCCAGAAAGTGTCCTAAATGTTTAAAATGTATTAAATCATTTAATCCAACTCAACAGAGTAGGTATTACTGTAACGTTCATTTTAAAATAAGAAAATAGGCAAAATAGGCTGAATAGTTTGCCCAAAGAAGTAACTAGGGAGCAGCAAAGCCAGGGTTCAAATCCCAAAATTCTAGCTCCTGAGGACACATTCTTAATCACTGGAGTGCTTGTCTAAAGGAAAAATAATTTACGTGAAGAGAAATGAAAATAAGGAACCAACATGTGAAAAAAAATTTCACTACTAATTATAAAATATAATTTAAAACAACTATACAGCTCTATGTTATGATTATTTGCAAAATAAAATAAAAATAAAAAAAAAAACAATGCTGATGATCCTCAGGGATATGTTTATGCATTGTTGGTTGCACAATAAAAACTGGTTCATTCTTTTTAGAAAGTAATTTAGCTATATAAAACAAGAGTCTTAAAACCAATTACTCTAATCTAGTAATCCCACACTGAAAAGTAATTTAACAATATAATTCAAAAAAGAAAAATAAAGGCTGTTTGAAAGATAGAATAATGTTATCAAAGTAGCAATTTGAGAGCCTGTGAGTGAGAGAGGGAATAAGAAAACGAAAGAAATTGGAAACAACCTAAAGAATTACTGATAGCAACTAAAAACAATATTATAGTCATACCTTTGAGATATTGCAGGTTGGGTTCCAGACCACCACGATAAAGAGAATATATCATAATAAAGCAAGTCATAACCTTTTTGCTGGTGGAGGGTCTTACTTTTAATTTATAATAAATGCCACATCCATGAAGTGCAATAAAGTGAAGCACAATAAAAGGAATTCTACCTGTGTAGTTATATAAGGACTATGTTGGCATATATAAAAAACACTTAACATAATAAGTGAAAAAAATACTTGCATACATCACAATTATACTAAATGTTAACATACTTACTCATGAATTCAGAAGTCATACCTGAACCTGATTAGTTGCGTTTAGGTTTGTTGGTGAAAGAATCATGGGTACTGTTTTGGTCAAGTCTAAAAGTGGTTCTCAGTACTCTTATCTCCAGAAGTGAAGAGATACCATTAAAAGATTAGATTTCTTGATCTTTTAAATTTTAATATGATTCTCAGAAGTGCTATGATTGGGATTCCTAGTGATCAAGTCAATTCATTCCATTGGAGTATGAATGTGAGAAAGAATAAGGAATTTAGTAGATTTAATAGACTAAATGACTGAAGTATTTCTATGATTAGACCCACAATGATAGAGGAGAAAACTTAAAGCAATTTTTTGCTATACTGGCTTACCTGTTTTAAGGTTGCTATGAAGCGAGTTATATATTCTACAGTGACTGGGTCCTCAACTGTAAGCTTATGGCTCTGGCACTCCACACGGGCTCTGTTTATTACTACTCTAGCATCAGCAGTCAGTCCTATAGAAGTAGTTGATACATTACAAAAAAGAATGACTTCTTTCATTGTCAAAAGGGTTTTAGCAACCATAAAATCTTTCTTATAATGTCCTTTTTTAAAATCTATGTCCATTATAAAGACTTTGTAAAATTCTTTGTGAATCACTCATTTGACATTCTGGTTTATTTTATTTAGGACTTAATTTGATGCATTGTTATTTATTTTTTTAAAGAAAATGGTTTTAAAGAACAATGGTTAAACACTAATGTTAAGTAAACTATTTCCCAAAGATTAAAATGGTTTCATTCACAGTAGTTAGGCTGGTTATCAGGGATTATTAAGTATTTAAAAAAAAATCTCTAGTCATATTTTTAAAAACTTTTTTTGGGGAAGATATCAATGGAAGACTGTTCAAAGATTGATGGTCTATCCTGATTCCAAAACTAATGTATTTATTACCTAAACCATGGAGTAAGCTGGATTTCTTATTATGAAAACAATGCATACTATACTTCATTATCAAACACATATCAATTGCATTCAAACTTCATTCAATATAGCTGTGAAATATCTCAGCTTTTTGTCTAAGATTTTGATTTTGAAAATCAAAAATGTTAAAACAGAAAAAAGAAAACACATTGTCTTACTTTTGTCATACCAAAAACATCATGTAATTATTCCTAACACTCCTGTAAGGAAATAAAATGCTTTCGTTAAAACAAATAGCAAACTGACCAAAAAGTTAAATAGATGCAGTGGTTGTAAACACTTCTATTATATTAAAGACTTCTTTGCTATTTGACCTTTCCATTGCCATTTTGTTTCTTTTTCCTCCCTATTAAAACCACATTGCCCCCCAAATTCATTTACAGTCTTAGAAACATTCATTTCTCATATAACCATCAGTATTTTGCAGTTACAAACTCTTTTTCCCCTTCCACATCATTTCAAATCATGTTTCTAGAAACCTGAAAGAACTGCTAGTCCCTGAAGATGGTTAACAACATTCAACAATGAAGAAGCTGTCAGAATATGCCACTGTTAAGAATGACAGTCAGGTAGTGAAGGGAAGAGAAACTGATTCTTTTCTTTTTGCACATGTTATCTGAGATAAGAAACGGAATGAGATTGATTTAGCTTATCCTATGAATTAAAAGCTTCAGTCATTTAGAAAATATGATCAGAAAGGAGATTTCTAAGTATTTTCCATTTATAATGTAAATGTGATCCAAAAGTATAGAAGCATAAATGTACCATACTTAGAAAGTAATATTGTAATTGATTCAAAGAAAAAATTAGCGATAAATTTGCCAAACCATACAAACAACATAGTTGTGTGTGCGCGCATCTGTTTTAACATAAGTAGCAATTATACTTATCAATACTAAATGGCTAGGAAAAAGAGAACAAATTCTATTTAAAGATAGCATTGAATATTGTAATTTAACTGTTTATAAATATGCAATTACAGAAGAAATGAGTCCTCAAGTCTAGTACCTTTAAATTTATCACAGCTTTACCTGATATTATCATAATGTAAAATTTCTGTTAAATGGAATTCCACATGCTACATAAAATAATTTTTCAAATTCTTTGATTTTTTCCCTCTAAAGGCTGTTTTCTGAACACTAAAAGCACAATGTAACAATACTGGCAAAAGAATAATATTTTTTTCAAAATGGAACTCTATTTTCCTTCTGATATGTGTTCATTGTAAATTATTCCAACAGAATAAGAGGTACCATAAATTTCACAATGTATAAATAGAACTGTATCACACTTATTTTTGTAACCTACTATTTTAAATATATATTATGCATACTTTCTCATGCCAGTACATACAAATCCTACCACCTCCTTACCTCCTTTTTAAACTGCCACTAAACAATAACAATAATAACAATGATGTAGAAGTAGTACTAATAGTAGTGGTAGTAGTAATATTTGCCAAACATTCACATATGCCAGACATTATTCTAAATGCTTCTTATGTATTAATCCTTGTAACCAATCAACAAGGTAGATACTATCAGATGACTAAACTGGGACAAGGAACAGTTATATACCTTGTCCACTGTCACAGGTATAGTGGACAATGGAGTCTGGTGTAGAACTCAGTTGGTATGATTCTAAAACCTGTACTTTTAAGCAATTACTTAGATATACCATGATTTGTTACACTGATTCTCCAATAATAAATATTTAGGTATTTTCCAATTTCAAAAATCAATTGACAGACATGTAAGGAGAATATTAGTAAATTCTTATTTTACTCTGCCAAAAAGTTATATACGTGTTAAAATTATTTTTATATTAAAGTCAGAACAGTATGTGTACCAGAGTTTTATCATCCCATCATTTATAGTAAGACAGTTCCTTTAAAAATATTTTTCTTTTATTGTAGTAAATATATATAAAATTTACATTTTAACCATTTTTAAGGGTACAGGTTGACGGAATTAAGTATTTTTACACTGCTGAGCAATGATCACCATCCATCTCTAGGACTTAATCTTCCCAAACTGAAACTCTGCATTCTATTTTCTGTATCTATGAATCTGGCTCTAGGTATCTCTACGTATATAATTGGATTCATATAGCAATTGTCCCATTATGAGTGTTTATTTCACTTAGTATAATGTCTTAAAAGTGGGCATCCTTGACTTATTCCTGATCTTAGAGTAAAAGCTTTTAGTGTTTCATCATGGAGCATGATGTTCACTGTGGGTTTTTCCTAAGTGGCCTTTATTATGTTGAGGTAATTTTCTTCTACTCCTAGTTTATTAAGTGTTTCTATTATGAAAGGTGTTGAATTTTGTCAAATATGTTTCTCTCCATCAATTGAGATGATCATGTAGTTTTTTCTTTCATTCTGTTAATGTAGTATATTATGTTGATTGATTTTCATATGTTGAGTAACTCTTGCACTCCAGGAATAAATGCTTCTTAGTGATAGTGTATTAATCCTTTTAACAGTTGCTAAATTTGGTCTGCTAGTGTTTTGTTGAGGATATTTATATCAAAGTTTGCAAAGATATTTGGCTATAGCTTTCTTTTCTTACAGTGTCTTTCACTGGTTTTGGTATCAGGATAATGCTGGCCTCGCACAATGAGATTCAAAGTGTTCCTTCCTTTTTGATTTTTCAGGAGAGTTTTTGAAGGATTAATATTAATTATTTAAATATTTGGTAGAATTCACCAGTGAAAAACATCTAATTCTGGACTTTTCTTATTGAGAGGTTTTTGATTACTGATTTACTCTTTACTTATTAAACATCTGTTGAGATTTTCTATTTCTTCTTGATCAACTTGAAGTAATTTGTATGTTTCAAGGAATTTGCCCATTTCTTCTAGGTTATCTTATTTGTTGGCATATGATTGTTCATAGTACTCTTATAATCTTTTTTTATTTCTGTGAAATTATTAGTAGCATCTCCTTTTTCATTTCTGATTTTAGTTGAGTCTTTTATTTTTAGTCCATCTGACTAAAGGTTTGTCAATTTTGTTAATCTTTTCAAAGAACCACCTCTTGGGTTTGCTGTTTTTTCCTACTGTTTTTCTATTCTCTATTTTATGGATCTCTGCTCCAATCTTTATTATCTCTGTCCTTCTTTTGGGTTGTTTGCTCTTTTTCTATTTCTTAAGATGTACACAATGGAATACTATGCAACAAAAAGAAAGAAGGAACTCCTTCCTTTCACGACAGCAGAGATGGAACTGAAGAGTATGATGCTAAGTGAAATAAGCCAGATGGGGAAAGACAATTACTATATAATCTCACCTATAACAGGCACCTAATGAACAAAACAAAAAGATGAGCAAAATAGAACCAGAGGCATGGAAACAAGGAACAAACTGACAGGGACCAGAGGGTGGTGGGAGGAGGAAAAGGGAGGAAAAAAGGGGAAGGGTCTAGTTAAAGAACAAGACCCATGGACATGGACAACAGGGTGGAGATTGACTGTGGGGTCAGGGGCTGGGCAGGGCAGGGAGAGCAATGGGGAAATACTGGGACAGCTGTAACAGAACAATAAAAAAAAGATGTAAAGTTAGGTTGTTGAAGTCTTTCTTTTTAATGTAAGCATTTATAGCTATAAAATTGCCTCTTAACAATGCTTTTGCTGTATCCCATATGTTGTGTTATCACTTTTATTTATCTCAAGATATTTGACTCATGGGTTTTTAAGGAGTATTGTTTAATTTCCATGTATTTGTAGATTTTTCAGTTTTCCTTCTGCTGTTCATTTCTAGTTTTACTCCCTTTTGACAGAAATGATACTTTGTATAATTTTAGTCACTTTTTCATCTTCCCACAATGCCAGGTTTATTAAGGGGAGATCTCTCCAATAAGCCAATAGTGTCAAATGCAGGTCACACACAGAGATCTGAGAGCTTACGGGATAGAAGCAAGGAGAGCAAGCATCCAGGTGAAGTCTGGATCACTGATGATGTCTGAAGATGAAGAGGTGAGCGTGGGTCTCAAAGTCAGGAGCCTACAGTGGCATTACAGTTCTGGTGGAATGGAAGTCCCACAGGGCTCCTAGTGTGAACCTTGGTACAGTCAAGTTTGAGCAATGGGTGGTGGGAGCTCTGAGTTTATTAACACTTATTTTAAACTTTATTAAGACTTGTTTTAGCCCTGGCTAGGATGGTTGAGTAGATTAAGTGCTGGCCTGTGAACTAAAGGGTCACTGATTTCAATTCTCAGTCAGGGCACATGCCTGGGTTGCAGGCCAGGTCCCCAATAGGGGGCATGTGAGAGGCAACCATACATTGCTGTTTCTCTCTCTCTCTTTCTCCCCCCTACAAAATAAAATAAATAAAATCTTTAAAAAAAAACCTGTTTTGTGGCAAGATAATTTCTTTTTTAAAACAGTAAAATAAAGATTTTTTATTCAATAATGTCTTTAAACTTCAACATAAAATTGTGACTTGAAAAAAATAATTAAAAATGAGAAAAAAAAAAAGCACCCTCTTCCCTGAGAGCATGCCTGGGCCTTTCCCTTTCCCCTTTTCTTCCGTCTCAGGCACCCATCTCCTAAACCCTAAGGGACCTGGAGACTAGCAACCAGGGGAACAATGGGCAGTGGTAGCTTATCTGGGCAAAGCCCCTGAACCTGTCTCCAAGGTCCCCTTTTCTTTGACTTCTCAGTGAGCCAAGGCAGCCCTGCCTAAGCTCATTTCTTCCCTATCACATTTCTAGGCAGCCAAAGTAGCCCTGCCTAGGCTCTGCTATGGCTACGTCTATCCTAAGTCCTTCTTTGTTTCACTGTCCCCAGCTTTAATAAATATACTCTCAAAAAAAAAAAAAAAAAGGAAAAAGAAAAACCCCAACATGAAACATGTCCTATTTTCTATACAGATGCAAATAAGCATGTGAAAATATGTTCAACATCATTAGCCATGAGGCAAATGCAAATTAAACCCACAATGAGATATCACTACACACCTATATAAATGTCTAAAATAAAAAATAGTAACAACACCAAATGCTGCTGAGGATGCAAAGAAAAATGAATCACTCATACACAGCTTGGGGGAATGTAAAATAGTACAGCCACTCTGGAAAACAATATGGCAGTTTTTCAGATAACAAAGTATGTATTATCATATGACCCAGCAATTTTACTCTTGAGCATTTTTCCCAGAATAATGAAAACCTGTGTTCAGGCTTTTTCTTTACACAAAAGCCTACACCAACTTTATCTGTAGTAGGCAAAAGCCCGAAACCTGTCATTTATCTCATTATAAACGTGTGGTACGTCCATACCATGGCATACTATTCAGCAATAAACAGCAATATGCTATTGCTATATGTAACAAGTTGGATGAATTGCAATGGAATTACACTAATGATAAAGGCCAATATTAAAAGGTTATATACTATGTGATTCTATTCATATAGCAAAATTATAGAAACGAAGAGATTACTGGTTGCCAGACGTTAGAAATATAGAGGAGGAATAGCATGGGTAGCCTTGTGGCAATGTAAGTTGTGTATCTTGACTGGGGTGATGGCTCCATGAATCTAATAAAGCTATATACACATGCAAATGAGTGCATGTAGAACTGGTGAAATCTCAAAAAAAATTTGTGGTATAACAATGTCAATTTACTGGTGGTTGAAGAAGTTACCACTGGAATAAACTGAGTAAAAGATAAAGAGTACTACTTTGCATATGTTTTTTAAAATAATTTCCTGATCTAAAATTATTTCAAAATTAAAAAGGAAACAGCTACCTAAAATTACAATTAAGATAATATAATATATACCTCCTGCCATTTATGTCTATCAGAAGTCCTGGTTTATAGAGTTGTGATTTTCCAGAAAAGATGGGGTATACTGTTTGTGTTTATTAAGAAATAGAGTATAACTTCATATGTTGTACTAATATAGCACCACAAAAACTATAGTGGGGCCCGATGTGTTACCCTATTACACCAAGATACTCTGAATCATTATTGTATTTTTAGGTCTGATCGTACCTGCAAAAGCCATGCAGACATGGTCATCAAGGGCACAAATTTTCCTCACAGTTCTTTCGTCTTGAAGCTTGGCAACAGATTTTTTTTCCACCCCGAGTACAACTATATTGGTACCACGAATTCCAACCTGTCAAGTCATTTTAAAAAATGAGTAATGCGTGGTCAGCTTTAACATTAAGTCAATTTGTTCTAAAACATGACTTATAGGAAAATGCTTTTCCTTAAACATTCAGTGAAAGTGAAAAAGTAGACTTCTAAGAAAACTCAAGGAAGACAAAGGTAGAAACTGGAAGGATATACCACAAATTCTGAAACTATGAGTGACTTATTCTCATACAACATACTTGAAGATTTGTTATCTAAACACAGAACAATTTTAACTGAAATGAAAGATGCTGGAAACCCATGTGGAGTCCATATAAAAAAGGGCAGTACCGGTACTGGTGGTAGTAGAAACAGTATAGGTTAAGTAGGTTCATTCTGAAACCTCTCCCATGTACCTCATAATTTAAAGGGATAGGGATTAGAGGTCATAAGCAGTCAAGAAAAAGACCAAATGCCCTCACCCTAGACCACTGATAAACCAAGCATCAATTCAAACAAGAATATAACAAAAAGAATCACTACTGCTCCTCCCTCCACCCCTTCTCTTGGGAAGGAAGTGGAAAAAAGTCTAAAGAATAATGTACAATAGTAGTAGTTCTTGAACAGGGACTTCTGGGGAAACATGGTCTGATTCACAGGGGTTCAAGAGTAATCTATAAGAATTTTAATTCGGATTATAATGGTAATTAAATATTTTGATGGTGGCATTTGTGTTTGTGATTGCTCTGTGGTCAAATGTGGCCATATTATACTGCTTTATACAACATAACTAGGCAAAGAGGTATATTCTGAATTAGTACTCTTGAAGTAAAAATACAGAACAGATCAAACATAGAACTAGACATGAGATTACATCTTTCAATTAAATAAAACTGAGGCAATTTTCCCTGGCTGGTGTGGCTCAGTGGATTGAGTGCCAGCCTGTGAACTGAACAGTCGCCGGTTCGATTCCCAGTCGGGACACATGCCGGGGTTGCAGGCCAAGTCTCCAGTAGGGGGCGTGCAAGAGGCAACCACACACTGATGTTTCTCTCCCTCTCTTTCTCCCTCTCTTCCCCTTTCACTAAAAATAAATGAATAAATTTTATTTTAAAAAAACAGGCAATTTATCAAAGCTTTTGCTCCCTCACTGCATTCTGTCAGTTTATCCAAGAGGCCTTCCCTAACCATCCTATCCAATAGACATGTTGAATTTCATGTCCTACAGGGAACATGCCTTCTTATCAAGTCACGGGACATTATAACAATTTCACACATATTAGGACTCAAAGAAAATCTCAATATATTCCCCAAACTGAAATAAATTAATTTAAATTCATTAATCGCAAGACAATACAATAATTTTTATAACTCTCACCTAAACAATTTTCAACCTGATAAAATTACAACTGCCAACAGGTTGGGTCACAAGGTTGGGTACCTCTTCAAGCCGGTACCGCCACTGCATGTACAGGGCTGACTTTTGGAGGGCTGAGTTAGCGGCAGTCCATCTCATCCCAGAGATGGCAGGAAAGGGAGGGAGGAGAGAAGAGGGGAAGGAAAAAGCAGGAAGAGAGGTATAGATTTACTTGACTGACTAGCCTCAGAGAGATGCACAGAAAGGCAAATTAAACATGCATGCAGTGAAAGGCCTTGGGGCCTGACTACTCCCACCTCAACCCCTGCCCCATCACCTGCTGTCCCATGGGCTACCCTCTTCCTCTTCATCTGCCCCACCCCATTATCTACACAGCTAACCCAAATCCAAAGCATTTTATATACGGGGTTCGGCAAAAATAAAACCTCTCTTTTTATTACAAAATCATACGCATGTAATTCTGTAACATAACAATATCACACTCAAGCACACGATATGACATTTTAGGTGAAATGTTCAAATTAAAACTATAAACTATTACACCCCTATAATTACTCTACCAACCACACTCAAGCAGGCATTACTTCTGCCGGACCTTGTATGCAATTTTTTTCTTTTTAAAGAACGAAAGAAAACAAAGCTGCTAACACATACTATATAGAAAGTTATAGCCCTAAGTTAATAAATTTGAAAATCTGACTGAAATAACAGACCAGAAAAATTTAAAACTGCCCATATTCACTCAAGAAAAAAAAGAAAAACTCAGTCTCACTAACAAACATAGAATAATTTCAGAAAAGAACTATCCCACAAAAACAAGTGTCAGGCCTCGAAGGTTCATGAATGAATTCTTTCCAATCTTCTGTTACGGGTAATTCCCATGCTACTTAAATAATTCTATGGTACAGATGAAAATGCAAATGTTTCTAACTCTTTTTAGAAAAGCTACGTAACAATGTTAAAAGCTGGCAAACATTATATTCTCTAACAAAGAAAAATACCAATGATTTTCACTTAGGGAAGCTGATGCTAAGAATTCAAAACAAAATATTTACAGGCAGAATCCAGAATTACAGAAAAATAATATACCACAAACAAGTATGGCTCATTCCAGGAATTTTAGGAACATTAATAAAAGTAAGTACTTTAATATAAATGTCACAGGGGATAATGGAAAGCTGTTATTTTTGACCTGATTACACCACTTTAATTTTTTTTTTGAGAATTACTGAGTCTTTAGGTGGTGCTGTAATGTATAACCCAGTCTAGACAAAATGTAAATCCTTAAAGTTTTACTGGACGTGTCTGGAAGATAGGATAATTCTCTTTGCTGTAACAGAGCTGAGATCCTGGAGCCTAGGGCTATTTAGGGAATCAACAGGTAAGGAGGTCTTGAGAGTGAAACAGGGAGAGAAAGCAAGATGTGGAGACGGATAGGGGGAAAAAAGGAGAAAGAGACATGCAGAGCGACATACCAGCTCTGTTGACATCATTTAAGACCCAACTAGCTATACAACTGAATCTAAAAACAAGGTTTACTCCAGCTCCCTTTGGCGCTTTATTCAATAGATTCACTTTTTTGCTTAAATTATAGTGAGTTGGATTTTTGAGGCTTGCAACATAAATGTCCCTAACTAAAACAATTCTATAGTAAAAATTAAAAGTAAATGATAAAAGCTACAAAGGCATTTGATAAAATTCGAAATCCACATATAAATTTAAAACACTGGAAGAGTAAGAAGACAACTATTTTACAACTTGTTAAAAGTATTATACACTTGCAGTTAAAATCATGTCAGAAAATGAATCACCATCCACTCTGTTTAAGCCAAAAACCCAGTTGTTATCCTTTATAGCTCCCTTTCCCATACCATCCACTGTCAATCAATTACCAAATTTCTGTACATTTTACATGCGAAAGCTATCTACATCTTGCTATCAGCACTCTAGTACAAGCAACCATCATTTTCTTACCTGTGCAACCTAGTAAAGATTTCCAGTTTCTAATCCCGCCCGCCACCTTTCCACCTCCCAACCTCTGACTCCCCGTACTGCACTGTCATCTGGTCTCCACAAAGCAGTCATGGTGAGCACTTAAAAATATCAATAGGTTCAGATTACTCTCCAGTTTAATATCCTTCCATGGTATTCTACCTTACTTAGAAAAATGTTTTCAGGCTTCTTAGCCTTACTTATAAAGCTGGGCATAATCTGGTCCCTGCCTACTCTTCAATAGTATGTCATTGTTAAGCAAGCACCAGCCATGCTACCTACCTTCTTTCAAGGCTTTCTCACAATTCTGTTTCCCTCCTCTGAGCATTCACACGTGATTTGTTCTCTGCCAGGAACAGTTCTCTTATTTCAGGTCTCAATTTAAATCTCACTTCAAGGAGTCCTTCTCTATTATTCTATAAGCAACCTGTTAGTTATGTTCTTGCAATCAGTACATTTATTATTACCTATTTATTCATTGTGGTTATCTCACTATATAGTACATTCTATGAGGGCAAGGAAATAATTGGACAAATCTAGGAAGTGGGACACTCTACCCTATTAACCCTGTTTCTTCAAGACATTAAAAGCAGGAAAAAAAAAGAGGGGATGCTATTCAAGAACACAATAAGGATACCAAACAGCTAAGTGCAAGGCATGGACTTCAGATTCAGACTTAAATAAATTAACTATAAAAATATATTGTGTGAGCAATAAGGAAAAATAGAAACATAGACTCTTACAAAGTATTAAGGAATTCTGTTAATTTCATTAGGAATGATAATAGTTTTAAAAATTATTCTTATTTTTAGAGATGTATAATGAAATATTTACAGATAAAATATGTTATCTGGATATAAAAATAAATGAAATATCACATTATCTGGATGTAAAATAAATGGGAGTAAAGTATTCCACTGAAAAATGAATTTTGACATAAACCTTACCAAAATTAACTCAAATTGGATCATGGACTTAAGTGTTAAACTATAAACTTTTAGGGAAAAAAAACAGGAGAGAAATATTAGGATCTAGGCAAAGAGTTCTTAGACTTGGCATCAAAAGCATGAACTCTAAGAGGAAGAACTGTTAAATTGGACCTCATCAATACTACAAACTTTTGATCTGTGAAAGTCCATGTGTATAGGATAAAATGACAAGCTATAGATTGGGAGAAAATGTGTGCAAACCACGTATCTGACAAAGGGCTAGAACCTAGACTACATAAAGAACTGTCAAAACTTAACAGTAAAAAAACCAATTCAATTAGAAAATAGACAAAACACATGAAAGACACTGCACAGAAGTAGATAAACAACAGCACATAGCACATGAAAATACGATCAACATCATGAACTACTAATGGTTAGTTTTATTAAAACCATGAGGTACCACTTCACAATGATCAAAATGACTGAAATGAAAAACAGTACCACCAAATGCTAGAAAGAATGTGTAGAAAATGGGTAATTCATACACTGCTGGTGAAAATGTATAATGGTACAGCCACTCTGAGCAACAGTTTGGCAATTTCTTATAAAACTAAACATGCAATTACCATATGACCCAGTAATTGCACACTTGAAGATTTATACCAGAGAAATAAAAACTTATGTTCACATAAACACCTGCTATAAATGTTGAGAGTGTCTCTATTCATAATAGCTCCAAAC